TGCTCCATCCGTCTTTACCGTCGTTTGCTTTGACGGCGTGGCTGTTGAGAGCCAGGTGTTGAGGGATCGTGGTCTCTCGGATGCGGTTATCTCTACGATGTTGCGGGCTCGCAAGCCTGTGTCCCGACGGATTTACTATCGAACTTGGAAGGCTTATTTTGCCTGGTGTGAGTCGGTAGGATTTCCGCCCCGTTTGTTTTCAGTTGCCAGGATCCTCGCTTTTTACCGCGGGGTGTGGATCAGGGTTTGGCCTTGAGTACGATCAAGGGCCAGATTTCGGCCTTGGCGGTCCTTTTTCAACGACCGATAGCTTCCAAGCTTTCGTTCGCACTTTTGTGCAGGGGGTTACAAGGATCGTCCCCCCTGTTCGCTCCCCGTTGCCGCCATGGGATCTGAATCTGGTACTCTCAGTGTTGCAGGACTCTCCCTTTGAGCCTCTGCGTGACATTCCAATTCTGACTCTATCTCAAAAAGTGGCCTTTCTGGTGGCAGTCACCTCGATCCGCAACGCAAAGTGTTGCAGGCGGCCGTTTGAGGGGATTTTTTTGTTTTAAGTTGGGTTTGTTGTTTCTGTTGGCCCACCCCTCTTTTTTGGTACTGCTCTGTGACGTCCCTACAGTACAGGATCTCCGATCTGTTCCCTGTGTCCTTCAATGAACGGGAGAGAAAATAGGATTTTGGTACTCACCGTAAAATCCTTTTCTCTCCGTTCATTGAAGGACACAGGGCCCGCCCCTCTATATGGGTGTGTACTCCTTTACTGCTTGTTACTAAACTGGAGACTTGTCAGCAGGTGGGGGGTTTTGGCCACCGGCAGGGGCCGCCCCTAGGCTGTGATTGGTCTTTAGTTTTGTGCCTAGCGTCCTTCTCCTGCAGGTGGCGATATTACCCTATAGTACAGGATCTCCGATCTGTTCCCTGTGTCCTTCAATGAACGGAGAGAAAAGGATTTTACGGTGAGTACCAAAATCCTATTTTTTCGGAAAAAAAACATTTAAATTAATTTTAGTGCACACACACTCAATTTAATACCCTTTTTTTTGTAAAATATAAAAGATGGGGTTACATCGTGTAGACAGATAATAAACACGTCAAGTGTTAAAACTGCACTCGCGTGAAAAAAACGATAGTACTCAAAATTGTCCATAGGCGACGCTTTAAAAGTCTTTCCTGCTCATCGGTTTAGATTAACAGAGAATTATGGCCCTAGAATTATTGATCTCATTCCAACATTCATGGTGATACCTAACATGTGACTCAATTGTCGTTTACGTACACATGCATGCCCTATGTGTGCGTTTTCATTCGCATGCAGATGGTGGGGTTGATTTTTAATTTTTGTTATTTTATTAATATTTGTCACTTTTTGAAATTTGTTTTCTTCATTTAACTTTATTACTATCACACAGGGGATAACAAGCCCCTATGTGATAGCGTTTGGAGGCAAAAGGTTCTCTTTATGGACCTAATAGACCCCTGATGTCTCCCCTGGCCTCCAAAACAGGGGACTGAGCACAGCTTTGCGCCCGATCGCTTGTGTAACCGTCACTTGAGCAGGAAGCGCTGAGAGTACATCACTTCATCCCTCACTGATCACAGAGCAGATTGGGGGAATGGATGCTCCTCTTGTCTGCTCCCGCTCTCCATCCGGAGAGCATTTTACATGGTCCTGGGTCCCCCAGAAAAGCAGGGGACCCCAAAAACCACAGATGGGGGGGG